ATTTTTAATTTTTTTTTTAATTTTATTTTTTTAAGTTTTATTTTGTTTTATTTTATTTTATAATATTTTGTTTTGTTTAATTTTATTTTCTTATATTACTTTATCTTTTTATATGTTTTTATATTTTCATATTTGAATTTTATTTTAATTTTAATTTGTTTTATATTTACATTTAATTCCTATTATATTGATTTTACTTAATTTTATTTCATTTTATTTTATTCTAATTTTATTTTTTTACTTCATTTTTAAATAATTTAATTTCATTTAATTTAATTCTTTGCCTTTTATTTTTTTCTTTTGTTTTATTTTTTTTTAGTTCATTTTATTTTATTTAAATATATTTGATTTATTTTTCTATAAAATATTTTATTTAAGTCATTATGCTATATTTTATTTTAATTTTATTTTCATATTATCTTTTTTAATTAATTTATTTTACTTTATAAAGTTTTAATTTTATTGTTTGATTTTATTTTGTTTTTGTTTTTTTATATATTATTTTACTTTTTTGTGTTATATTTTTAAATTTTATTTAATTTTTTTATTTAATTTAATTTTTTTAATGATATTTAATTTCATTTTGTTTTGCTTCATTTTATATAATTTTAATTGTTTTTTTTTTTATTTTGTTCAATTTTTTATTATTTTGATTATTTAATTTTTTTTATTTTATCCTTTTTTTATGTTATTCATTTTACTTCATTTTGGTTCATTTTATTTTATCTTACTTTATTTTATTTTATGTTATTTTATTATAATTTTAATTTAATTAAATTGAATTGAATCAATTTAATTTTATTTTATTTTATATTTCATTTATATTTAACTAGTTTTTTTTTCAATTTATTTTATATTGCTTTACTTATTTTAATTTATTTAATGCCAATTTAATTTATTTCTTTATATTTTGTTAATTTTTTTTTATTTTAATTTATTTATTTTTTTAATTTTATTTCTTCGCTTTATAAAAAAGGTCATAACAAAAATTGTTACTTCTCTTTTTTGCTGATCATTTCCAAATATTTCGGCTAACACTTAATTTCGAAGGTGTAAATCAGAGTGTTTTAAATTGACAGATATATTTATGTTTATTTAAAATGCACCGCGAATCAAACCAAATGCTTACAATGTAGGCCAAGCACATTTCAGTTGTGAATGAAAATCATCCAGTGGCAGCAGGAGGCTGGCAACATTTCAGCTACCCTGTAGGAAAATCTAGGGTTAAAACATCTAAGCAGGAAATACCCATAATAATAATATTTTTCACTTAAGATGTTTAAAATTTACAAGCAAAGTATCATTCCTATAATAGAAATAAAAAATAATGTCCACAAATATAAATTTGATTTATGAAACTCTTTTCTATTCCAATGATGAATAGTTGTTTTCTCGCCAGTCACTTTGTTATACATTTACTTGTAAATAAATATTTTATCAGATGGGGGAATTTTATTTACAAATATGCCGCGCGGCTACAAATGTAGATATATAAATAGAACTTTGATAAATGTTTTAGTCGAATGCTGCATCATCATGGCTGCCAAAGAACCGCAAGGCTTATAGAAATATAGAAATACGTACATATATAAGTATTCATTTATTCTTGGTATGCTCTTTTGGCTAAAGTTTGCAACTAGTGCCTGCCCTGAACACCACACCACTAAGCTAATTCCACCCACACTTTCAAATATCCTCACACGTTGAACAAAAATTGTTATTTGGTACCCTTGGCATGCCTTATCATTTTAATATCCATCAGTAAACATAATATTAAAATGTACATAAAGATTTTTGGTTTTTGTTTTTGCTCTGCTGAATATGTTAAACTGGTGTTCGTTAGTTTATATTTAGCTGTATAAAAATGTTTTGGAGACATAATCGTGTGTAACATACCATCGATAAAAACCAGACAGCTCGTCGGATGCTACAGGTCAGCTGTGATGCACACAGCCACACTGCATTTGGAAATATTTATTTTTATTTCTATTTTCAGACTAGCTTTTGTACAAGCATACAGACAAATGTAAATTTGAAATACATGCGCGTTGAACTGCAATAAATTATTAAGTGCGTGCGTATGGTTTTCGGTTATAAATTGCATTTAATCGTTTTATTTCTTTGTTTACAGTTTTGCAACATTTTCTCCGTCTAAAATGTTTTATTATAACACAGTCGTGGATTCCAGATTTTGACTTGAATTTAAAGTTTAAATTTATTTTTATGTCTTTTTGGAGAGAGAGAGGAAATAATTAAATAATGAGAGTAATAACAGTCTTCGGTCTATTGAAGGATGAAATAAAAGAATATAACAGGAACTTATTGTAAGTTAATGTTTAATATTTATTCTTTAGACCTATCAATGTCTTCGAAAAAATACGTCCATAACCAATTAAGGTTTTTTTAATTAAAAAAAATATATAATTCAAATAAATAAAGTAAAAAAAAGCACCAAAATAATATAATATAATATAAAAATATATACTAAAACAAAAAAATAAAACGAAATAAAATAAATTAAAATAAAATTAAATTAAATTAAATGAAATGAAATGAAATGAAATAAATAAAATAAAACAAAACCAAAAAAGAAACCAAAACGAAATAAAATAAATTTAAATAAAATAAAATTAAATTAAATTAAAATAAACTAAATTAAATGAAATGAAATAGAATAAAATAAACTAAATTAAAATAAAATAAAATAAAATAAAATAAAATAAAATAAAATAAAATAAAATAAAAAAAATAAAATAAAATAAAATAAAATAAAATAAAATAAAATAAAATAAAATAAAATAAAATAAAATAAAATAAAATAAAATAAAATAAAATAAAATAAAATAAAATAAAATAAAATAAAATAAAATAAAATAAAATAAAATAAAATAAAATAAAATAAAATAAAATAAAATAAAATAAAATAAAATAAAATAAAATAAAATAAAATAAAATAAAATAAAATAAAATAAAATAAAATAAAATAAAATAAAATAAAATAAAATAAAATAAAATAAAATAAAATAAAATAAAATAAAATAAAATAAAATAAAATAAAATAAAATAAAATAAAATAAAATAAAATAAAATAAAATAAAATAAAATAAAATAAAATAAAATAAAATAAAATAAAATAAAATAAAATAAAATAAAATAAAATAAAATAAAATAAAATAAAATAAAATAAAATAAAATAAAATAAAATAAAATAAAATAAAATAAAATAAAATAAAATAAAATAAAATAAAATAAAATAAAATAAAATAAAATAAAATAAAATAAAATAAAATAAAATAAAATAAAATAAAATAAAATAAAATAAAATAAAATAAAATAAAATAAAATAAAATAAAATAAAATAAAATAAAATAAAATAAAATAAAATAAAATAAAATAAAATAAAATAAAATAAAATAAAATAAAATAAAATAAAATAAAATAAAATAAAATAAAATAAAATAAAATAAAATAAAATAAAATAAAATAAAATAAAATAAAATAAAATAAAATAAAATAAAATAAAATAAAATAAAATAAAATAAAATAAAATAAAATAAAATAAAATAAAATAAAATAAAATAAAATAAAATAAAATAAAATAAAATAAATATAATAAAATAAAAAAATAAACTAAAACTTTATAAAACGAAATAAAATACATTTATTTAAAGCTAAATTAAATAAAATTAATTTAAGTGGAATCAAATGAAGTAAAAATTATAATAAAATGAAATGATATAAAGTGAACTAAAATAAAACAAAATAAAATAAATTCAAATGAATAATATTTATTAAAATAAAATAAAAGAAAAGAAAAAAAAATAAATGAATTGAAAAAATAAAATAAAATAGAATAGAAATAGAAGTTAAATGATATGAAATAAAACGAATTAAAATATAATAGAGTAAAATGAAAAAAAGATATATAAGGAAAGAAAGAAGTATATAATAAATCAAGAAAATTGAATTAAATGAAATAAAATTAAATAAAATACAGCAAAAAAATATTAAAATTAAAAACCGTTAAAGGATTTCCAAGAGCATAGTGAAAAGCTTTTAGCTTCGAGTTTTTCGAAGTGCTTCATTAATATCAGAGGCATTTAGCAAGCTTTAAAAATAGTATGAAATCTCATTTTCATACTTCACAAACTGCCTTGCCTAATCCACACCATTTCGTAGTCATTATGCTTTCATAACTTTGCATTACCATCGTAAAATGTACACAATTTTCCCATTTAATTTTTCACTCCCACAACAGTGTACTTTCAAGCACTAAGATCCCAAACATGTACGCACCGACCAACGCACGCACAGTGCAAAATCGTTTCTATATTTAATGCCTTTCACACGTACTTTAATTGAATATAATTGGCTTAAAGTCTCAAATAACTTACTGGCAAGAAGTGCTGAGAATTTTCCACTCAAAGCCTACTCATGTTTCGTTGTTGCCTGCCACTGCTGTTGCAACACTTTCGGTGTTAAAACACTCAACGCCGGTGGTTGGGGTGAGGCGTATAAGTAATGCTAAATTTAAAGGCTAATCCAAGATGAGGTTTGTATGTATGGAGGAGAAGTACATACATTTGTATTTATAACTATTTTGAGGAAGGATATTGCCCAAGTGGGAAAATACTGGTAAGAGCTCGGATTGTACTTTGGTTTATATGCAGTTTTTTGTGAGTTTTTATTAGCTAATTTGTGAACGATTTTGTGGGAGAATCGAAATCTCAGCGAAATCCATTTTGAAACAAAATGCCAAGGGCAGTAGATGTTGTATTTTTGCCAAAAATACCTTTAGACTTAATTTAGAAAGGAGTCCAAGCCAGCTGTCGTGCATGTGAAATAAATTTAAGTTTTTTTAGTCTATTTCTGGCATTGTTTAATTAACAAATAGCATTGAGTTTCGGTTGTTTTGATATCACAATTCACTTCCAAAACACGTGTGCTTAAAAAGTTTTCATTTAAAAAGTGATTTATATTTTAGTTCCGCCATAACTCACCTTAAATGTTTCCTAAATTCGTTTTAATCACTGTTACTTCGCTTTATTAAGGTAATCTGAAACGAAAGAATGAAAAAACCAAATTAACTACTTAATTATTTTCATATACAGTAAAGAGATACATACAAATATCACCTAAGAAATAAGCTTTAAGATATACATTTAAATTTTAAGGTAATTTGAAAGTTTAACGATGCTTGAATATGATATTATTTTTTAGGGTGTTAAACAAAACACATAGATAAAAACCTTATTTCAAAAGCTTTTCAAAACTTAACTTTTACTAGGCATTTGAATATTAAATGGTATATTTAATTCATTTTATATAAACTGCATTTAATTCTACAACTTATAACATTTTATGTGGATTAATAATTTGCACACCTTTTCATAAGCTTAGAAGCTTATGTAAATGGGATGGGAGCAGGGCGCCATCTATCGAATGCTTTTCGCAGTACGTCTTATTTGAGCTTTGACATCTTCAGTGGCGTTCTCAACGTGGCAAATATTCATTACAAGATTATTGTTGAGCTATGCGTGAAGAAAATTGTTGAATATTAAAAACTTTTTTCCGAAGTGCTGAGTCTTCAGCCGCACGAAACTTCAAAGCGAAGCCAATTACACGCCGTTCGCAGGAATTAAACATTGCGTGCACTTTTTTGGGCAGGATTTTGCATAGAGTCAGCGGCATGAAGGTCTTAAAGTTCATTGATCCAAACTTTACGATCATCTTAAGCGATATCGCTTCGCTCAATGGGATGGAAATACCTTGGTGGAAGATGAACATTTTTATTAAAAATTATACTTCAGATTAGGCTCATTTCCACCTCATCAGCGCTATGTTAACAAGCATTTGAGGCTCAGAAAACCCACATGTAACCATAGAAATTTTTGGTGGAACTACATGTGGGCCCATACTTCTACTATGATTCCCCACGAGTCCGATTATTACGCCGCTTCTTATGCTTATGGAGGTTCGATTTAGAAGGAGTAGAGCTTTAGTTCTATTTATCTCAATTAATGGCCACATTTGTTTTGCTACATTGCACGTTGTTTCTCCTCTGTCATCTGCTGATGGCCTTCTGGTGAAGGTTAGGCTTAGCTGAGGCGGTGAGGCGGTGAAGATGGTTACGGATCTATGATACAGAACTGTTGTATTTTCCCACTCATTAATTCCTGGGATATTTGTAGAGAAAGTATTTTCTAAACAGAAGACGGAATCGGTGTTGTCCTACACGATTTCTTCATTGCTGGCGTTGCAACTCGAATCAAGTTTCCCATGTAGACCTTCCGGGAGAAGATTAAGCGGAATTTCAAAGGCTTTCGCAGGAGTTGAGGGCAGCTTGCCCCTTTGGGTAGCCTTGTCTAGTGCTGGCTACCAGACAGTGAGTCCGTCAAATATTATGGAACTTATTCCCACTTTGTTTAGCCAGTACATAATTTGTGGTCTTGGTCCCATCACTTGCCAACTGCCGCCTTGTAGTCGCAGAGTGCGGTCATAGCTTGATTATCTCACAACTTTTCACTGTGTTTAGTTTCAAGGTGAGTTTGCTGTCTAAGATTTAGCCTAGATATTTAATCTGAGAAGAAAGAACAATTTCAGTGCCTTTGAATAACATTGGTTTGAAAGCAGTTGGTTTGTACCTTCTGATGCTCCTCCTAATTCAGTGAAAATTGTTCTGCTTCTTAAGAAAGATTTGACGAGATTCACTACTAGCGCCTCGAGAACGATTGCTGGTATCAAATTGTTAGAGGTCCCCTCGATGTCGAGAGATATGCTCCATATTCTACCCTTTGAGAGCGAGATCTCTCTCAATCATTTTTAAAATATCATGAAGAGCGGTGCCTACAGATTTTCCTTTAGAGTAGTCGTGCTAATTAGCCAATAGGTTTTTTGGAGCCATCTCTTGATGAATGCAAGCCTCGAGCATTCTCACTCAGATTATTTAGTAGGAAAGACGTAGGGCTTATTGGGCGCAAATCCTTTGTGTTTACATAACTTTTCCTGCCTCCCTTGTCAAAAAAATAAATCAGCTTCCAAAGACCATAGTTTGTAGATCATAAAAGTTTTTGCTTTTCTGTGCTAAGTCTCATCCTTTAAAAGAAATCGGTCCTCTCGTGAACGCCTTTCAAAAAAACGCAGAGATTAAATAATGGACTTTATCGCCGCCATTTTGTAACAAAATAATAATAAAATAATATATTTTATGCTCCAATATATGTTCAATGAAATGGTTATATTGATATTCCATTCCTTTTCCCCATATCCCTGAAATAAATTTAAAAAAGTGGGTACAGTTTTCAACCTCTAGAGCTGCTTTACCCCTTAAAAGGAGTTTGGTTTGTCTTCTGCCAATGTCAGCATTTAATTGCCATTAACCACTCTAGATATTGCTCTCTAGTTGTTAATTTGACATCTGTGTCTACCAATGCATTACAGTATATATGTGTGCCAGTATATACAGTTATAGCAACTAAGTACATATTAGCATAGCTGTGCTTGGAGGTGAGATGGTTTCGTATGCTTCTTCTTAGTGGCTTTACGCATTTAATGCCATTTTAAGTTAAAACGTGTTTTTGAGCTGTAAGTAGCACTCGTAATACAAATGCATACATAAATACATACATATTTGCACCGACATATCACCGTCAAGTTGATTTTAATGTCATGGATCCTTTTCCCAGAAATTCTTTGCTTGAAGTTACAATTTCAGCAGCGCTAAGTTATTAACTAAATATTTATTAAATACAATGCTTGGCCATTATTTATAAGTATTGAAGGGAAAATGAAAGATTATTATATACAAAAACTTAAAAAAAATGTTGTTAACTAAGAATTCTTCATTACTTTACATATGCCTGTATTTTTTTAAGCCAGGATCCCAAATTTTTCGAGTTCGATCATTGATTTATTACATACAAGTTTTAAAGCTTCTTTATTGTAAACTCGCAGTTTATTCCGTTTCACATTACTAAAATTTTGTCACTACTACACTCCATATTCAACTGAAGTAGCTGCCGTGTTGGTCGCCGCTTTTATATACTTAACTTTTTCTCACATACATCTCTAGAAGCTTCTCTTTGAATGTTCTAGTTAACGATTCGATACAAACGCTCTAGAGCATGCTTTAGTTGACGGTCCCTTCTCTAACATTCGTAATCGCATTTGCGCCGCAATATAAATAAAAAATATCAGCGGACTCAATAACCGAGTGGTTAGCATGCGCACTGCCATTCGGAATGCTATAAAATTATAGAAAATTTATTTCTAAAATATTGACCCCCCTCGGTATATAATGTCAAGCTCCACTGCGCTGGATGGCGCCGAATCGTTGCTAAATCGGAACAAAATCGACACATTTGAGAAGCGGTTGGAGATTGGTGAAGAAAAGTATATCACTTACAGCAATGTCAAACAAAAACGGCCGTGGTCGACAGGCAGTGAGCTGGCACAAACGGTCTCCAATCAAAAATTTACAGCCAGGAAGGTTTTATTTGTATATTTGATCAGCTTGACAAGGAATCAACTACTACAACCTTCTTCCTACTACCAAAATCTTAATTCGGACCCATACTGTCAGCAGTTAGACCATCTGAAGAAAGCATCGCCCAGTAACGCTAGGATTTGCCAAAAGGGGGGACAACGCCAGACAGTACACATTGTGATAGTGACCCACTAGCAATGCCGAGAGCTTGGACCGGTGGTTCTTATGCGTCCACCTTACGTCAGGTAATTATCATCAGCTCCTGCCTATAGGGAGGATTGATTTCACTGGTAAAGGATTGGCCTGAAGAGAAGATTTTACTAGAGCTAATACATAGCTGAAACCATAACCATGAAATAGAAATTTTCAAGGATACGTTCCCAACAGAATACAAACTCTGAAGAGCCCTTAACCTCTATTCATACAGAGACTTATAAAAACCTCCATAAAAACAATTTTTTTTTTTTCAAACCATGGTGCCAAGGTTATGCTATGTATTCGGTGGGACCACAAGACTTTGCTCTATTATGAGCTATTGAAATCGGGTCAGACGATCAATGGGGACCTCTACTGAAAACAATTGATTCGTTTAAAAAATGTCATCGCGGAAAATGGACCAGAATATGCGACCAGACATATTTCAAGGCCAGTTAAAAACTATTTGAAAAACTGTGGGTAGGAAGTTCTACCTCACCCGCCTTATAGCCATAGCACCTTCCCATTACCACTTGTTCAGATCAATGTAGAATGCCCTCACCTTAGTACGCTTCACTTCAGAACAGGATATCAGAAATTGTCTCGATTCTTTCTTGACCACCAATCCGGAGAAGTTCTTCTGGAATGGGATCCACAAAGTGCCAGAAAGATGGGCAGACATCGTAGCTTCCAATGGGCAATGCTTTGAACATAAAATGTATAATAATTTTTCACAATAAAGTCTTAATTTTCGAAAAAAGAAACCGCACGATTATTTCCAATATATGGACTAAAAATTTGTTTTGTATAAGTTTTTGAAGGGGTTTTTAGTGCTCCATTTTTAGAACATTACAGAACATTTTTTGTAAGTAAACTTAGCAAACTTTTGGTAATCCCCTTGTATATCTCAAAATTTGTAGGACTATTTTGCGTATAAACTGACGGACAGACAGACAGATGGATAGACGGACACGGCTAAGTCAATTCAGCTCTTCATCTTGATCATCGGTCTGAATTTTGATGCGTCTATCTCTTCTTCGTGCCTTAGTTTATTTACCATTTCATATATCTGAAAGGTATACAGATACTTACATATATACATTAGTTTTTATGCCTTCTAGTGAATGAAATCAAGTATTTACGCCACAACTTCGCACTACAGCATGCTGAAGTTAACGAGTTATTCGCGCGAATTGCATAGAATACCCTAACCCACAGCTGGCAAATGTTGTTTGTTGCAGTTACAACAAAAACATGAAATGGTGGAAATATTTCTGAAAGCTGAAAATTTTCAAGAGCAATACTTCGTTAAAACGCGCACAGAGTTCTCATTCAACTCATGTAGCCGACATTTCAGAGCATGAAAGAGCAGATAA